AGCGGGCGGAGACGTAGGAGAGAGAGGTGGAGAGAGAAGAGTGGAATTTGAGGGAATTGGGATTAGATAGGGAAAGGCCGAAGAGTTTGGAATCGGAAGAAGCGAAGAGAGGAGAGTGAAAGAGTTTGAAGGGGAAGGTGGTGATGCCAGCCATGGCGCGCGGACCCTTCCTTCTCGCTTCAACCACGGCGCATATCTCTTATCCTAATCTCTCACACAAACTCCTTTCAAATTCAAACATCACAAATAAGTCAAACTTATAAGTTTTTTTCTTTTTTCTTTTAACCAGTGGAGTCCAGGAAGTGGCAGTGTAATGTGTAACATTTACACAGCATACATTTTTTTTTTTAATATTTCCTTATATATAAGATTAAAGAGAGAGAGAGAGGTTATTAAAAATAAAAAAAATAAAAAAAAAAGTTGCTCGGAGTGATTTGAATGGATTTATAGGTACATAAGATTGAGTCTCACAAAAAAAGTTACTCCTTAACATTATAGTGATGTGTGTATAAATAAAATAATACAAAATAAGTCGTTTAATTATTTCTCATTTTTTATTTTTATTCCAAAAAAATTTTCATTTTCAATTATATATATACATAATCAAATATATAACAATTATAATAATATATAATTGTACTGCTAGCTCCTAGATTAAGTTGAGCTTGTGTCCAAACAAGTTGAGTAAAACATCAACTCATCTATAGCAAATTCACTAGACAAAATCCTAAGTGACTATTCCTTAATGATTACAAAATTATTTATGCATTACATCTTGCAAAATCTAAATTTCATATTACACATCAAGTTATCAAAAAAAATATATCTTCAAATAATCACTATAATGTATTTGTATTTCTAAAAATCATGCAACATTCTTTTTAAATTTAGTAATAAAATAATCGATTATATATTGAATACAAATATCATTTTAATCCTAATTTTATTCTTGATTTAAATTTTTCTTTAATTTAAACTTTGAAATGTGTACTCTAATATCAACAATTAGAGTGCCATCAACTCTTCTATTGGAGCACCTATAATTTTTTATAACAATAATAATTAATTAACATAATTGATTAAGCATATAGAATATGTAACAATTATAATAATATATAACCAATTAATATATTTGATTATATATATATATATATATATAATCGAATATATAAATAATTTTATATTATTTTTAGATAATAATCTAAAATATAATTAAAAATTATTATTATAAATAAGTAATAAATGAATAATTTATTTTTATATAAATAATAACTATATATCATATAATTTTAAAATACTAATTTCTTTCTTATTTCTCATATAATTTCATGTTATCAATCAACTACAAATTTTATTATATTTTTTTGACTTATTTTCTATCAAATTAGTTTCCACTTATTTCTTTTTATTCCTTCCAATTCTCTCTCCTCTCAAAGCAAACATTATTATCAATTATTAGTAGAAAAAAATATATTGTATCTCTACTTAGAAATCATGTCTTATGAACTTAAATTAATTTTTATTGTCAATTTTTAAGATATTATATGAACTATATACATGAAAAAAATTATTATAACTTTTTTATAAAATTATTATTATTATCTTTTATACAATTATCAACAATATCATATGATTAAAATTTAAACTTAATTAAAAATTCTTCTATATATTTACAGATAGTAAAATGGGAAGTTGCATAAATATGTTTTTTCAAATACAGTAGCTACAAATTTCTCATTTAATTATTATTTTTTTCTCTATAGATATATATTCAAAGACTATTTTCACTTCATTACTTGAATATGACAATAGTGTTCTTAATTTGAATTTTTTTTTATCTTAATATAAAGAATTTACGGTAAATTCATACATATTATTAAATCGTGTGATGTTACGCATACAATTATACAATTGCGCACAAATATCATCTTTGAAGTTTGACGATTAATTAATTACTATATCCTCTCAATATGGAGGCTAGTAGGCTACATGTATGAGATACTGGAACTTATTGAGTACACTTTTCCAGTAAAAGAAATAGATATAAATTAAAATTAACTTATAAATAAATTAATTTTTACATCTTCACTATAAATTAAATTAATTTAAACTTTTTTTTTTCTTGAAAGAGACCATTCTAGCTAGTTGTAAAAAATGTAAAATTAATACATCAATAGTATAACAGAACATACTGACTGTGGGACAGATGAATTTATTTTCTTTCACTTTGAGATTTTGTTTTTATACGTGTCCTCACATGGACAAGGAAAGAATGCCGAACCTAATTTATGTTTTGAATGACAAATATCAGTAATTGCTCCTAATTATCATGGTTTTTTATGGCAATTCGAATGTTACTCAACAATGTAGGTAATAAACTAAATATTTTATTTATAAAAAAGATGCGCAATTCTTAATAGAAAAATTAGACAACATAAGCATAGTTGTTGAATGCAAAGAAAATAAAGCGATATAATTTATTTTCATTGGAGAACTAATGAAGAAGAGAGGAACAAATAAAAACATATATTAATAAACCGGAGCTGTATAAAATTACATTAATCTCAGCTCCATTTGTGAAATTACATGGATCACATGAAGCTAAAAAAAACTTTATTGACTATTTATGAAACCTCACATCACATGACTAAACTTGCATTATTAGAGACAAATAAAGAGCACAAACAGCAGCACCAAAGCTTAAGTTAGTAAAATCCAGAAGCTTAGTCAACTTCTTCAATCTTAGGTCCGGCGCCAGAGGCAGCACCACCAGGCCCATCATCCCCCATAGGCACATCTCCACCAGCACCAGCACCAGCACCTGCAGCACCCTGACCTTGATACATCTTGGCAATGATGGGGTTGCAGATCCCCTCCAACTCCTTCTGCTTGTCCTCAAACTCCTCCACTTCCGCCAACTGGTTCCCCTCCAACCACTCTATAGCATCCTCCACCGCCTTCTCAATCCTCTGCTTCTCCTCGGCCCCCAACTTCCCCCCAATCTTCTCATCCCTTATCGTGTTCCTCATATTGTAAGCATAATTCTCAAGCGAGTTTTTCGCCTCCACCTTCTTCTTCACCTCCTCATCCTCTGCCTTGTACCTCTCCGCGTCCTTCACCATCTTCTCAATCTCCTCCTTGCTCAACCTCCCCTTGTCGTTCGTAATCGTTATCTTGTTCTTCACACCCGCGGTCTTATCCTCTGCGGACACGTTCAGAATCCCGTTCGCGTCGATGTCGAAGCAAACGTTAATCTGAGGCACTCCTCTCGGCGCAGGAGGGATACCAGCAAGCTCGAACTTCCCCAGAAGGTTGTTATCCTTCGTCCTCGCGCGTTCTCCTTCAAACACTTGAATCAAAACCCCGGGTTGGTTATCCGCATACGTCGAAAATATCTGCTCCTTCTTCGTCGGAATCGTCGTGTTACGCGGAATCAACACCGTCATCACACCGCCAGCAGTTTCGAGTCCAAGGCTCAGAGGTGTCACGTCCAATAGTAACAAATCCTGAACCTTCTCGTCTCCCTCACCGCTCAAAATCGCGGCCTGAACCGCAGCACCGTACGCAACAGCTTCGTCGGGGTTAATACTCTTGCAAAGCTCTTTCCCGTTGAAGAAATCCTGCAAGAGTTGCTGGACTTTCGGAATCCTAGTGGAACCTCCCACCAACACAACCTCGTGAACGTGACTCTTGTCAATCTTGGCGTCACGGAGACACTTCTCCACCGGCTCCATGCACTTCCTGAACAAATCCATGTTCAGCTCCTCAAACCTCGCTCTCGTAATAGTCGCGTAGAAATCAATCCCTTCGTATAAAGAATCGATTTCTATCGTCGTCTGCGCGGTTGAAGAGAGCGTTCTCTTAGCTCTCTCACACGCTGTTCTTAGCCTCCTCAACGCTCTAGCGTTCCCGCTGATGTCTTTTTTGTTCTTCCTTCTGAACTCCGAAACGAAGTGGTTCACCATTCTGTTGTCGAAATCTTCGCCACCGAGGTGAGTGTCACCGGCGGTGGCCTTCACCTCGAAAATCCCCTCCTCGATGGTTAATAGCGAAACGTCGAACGTGCCGCCACCTAGGTCAAAAATAAGCACGTTCTGTTCACCTTTTCTGGAAGCCTTCTTGTCGAGTCCGTAAGCAATAGCAGCAGCGGTGGGTTCGTTGATTATCCTCAACACGTTCAAACCCGAAATCGCCCCTGCGTCCTTCGTGGCCTGCCTCTGCGAGTCGTTGAAATAAGCGGGGACCGTGATAACGGCGTTCTTCACCGCGTGACCGAGAAACGCCTCTGCTACTTCTCTCATCTTGATAAGCACCATCGAGGATATCTCTTCCGCGGCGAATTTTTTCTCCTCGCCTTTGTATGTGACCACGATCATGGGCTTGTCGGCCGGGCCCGCTACGACCTTGAAGGGCCAGAGCTTCATGTCGTTTTGGACGGAGGCGTCGGAGAATCTGCGGCCGATCAAACGCTTGGCATCGAAGACGGTGTTCTGCGGGTTCATGGCAACCTGGTTCTTGGCCGCGTCTCCGATGAGCCTCTCCGTGTCGGTGAAGGCCACGTAGGAGGGGGTGGTTCGGTTCCCTTGGTCGTTGGGGATGATCTCCACGCGGTCGTTTTGCCACACGCCCACACAGCTGCAGGTCGTGCCGAGGTCTATGCCTATGGCTTTTCCTTCCTTTGTCGCCATAACTGTGTTTCTAAGGTAATGAAAATCTCAGAGCTGGAGTTCACTATTTGATGAGTAAAGGAAAATTTCGGAATTGGAGTTTAGTGTTTGTATAGTAGTTTCGTATGTGCAAAACTTGTGAGCGAGGAGAGAGAGGATCAAAAGCGCAATTTATAGTCGCTGTTAGAAAGAGTTCGAGAATTTACGAGGTTAGGAAAGAAAGTATGGGAGCGTCCTAGAGGATTCTGGAGTGTTTGGTTATCTTCCAGAAGGGTAAAGATAATAAAGACAAATGGAGAATAATTCACTTTACGCGGTTAATTTACATTATTTTCTTTATATAAAGCTATTATTTTTTATTCAGCATAAAACAAAACTATTATTATTTAGTAAAGTTTGAGTGAGTTTTTAATAAAAATTGCCTGCTTAACTGTTTTTTTTTATTATAAAATTCATATGAAAATTATCATAAGATAGATAATATATTAGAAACTAAAAAGTATACTTAATTTAAGAATCCATTTTTTTATGTTTAAAGTTTACATGATTGTATTATATTATTTATATTTATGCATCTATTTTTTAATAGACATTCAATAAGTGGTATTTAAATAAAATATAGAACATATTAACTTGGCGCGTATAGGGGTAAATTGATAGTGGTAACTTAAGCATCTAGAAGGGACTGAAATGGTAGAGTTTTGGAAGGGAGCTGAATTGAGCGGTCCACGACTCCACGTGGATAGAATAAAGAGCGCAGAGGGGCGGTGCACCGTGCATGGCTGTCGATGACGGTTTAAATACAGGTGTTGAAAGGAGGATCGCAAAATGAAAAACAATGACACTTATGACTTTAATGTCTTTAATGTTGTCTTATATTCTAACTGTTTTGGTATTAACATATATTTTATTTTATATAACTAAAACATATAGCAAATAAATATTTTAAATATAAAAATATATTATAACTAAAATTTATAATAAAATATTTTTGTTATATAGATTATATTTTAAATTTATAATGTGATATAATTTTTTAAAATTATTATAATTACTTTAAATTATATTAGAATTTAATTTAATTTAAAATTAATAGAAAAATGACAAATTGTAACACTGTATCTAAGATGAAATGTGAGTTATGAGGGTTTTCGATCAAATATTCAACTAACTCTGAGAGGCAGTATATTGGGTCTTTATTGAGGATTGAGTCTTATAAACTCATTTCTTCATATTCTATAGAGGAGTCCAATAGAGAAGTACTTTGAGTTCGTGAGTTTTCTCTCTCTCCCTAAACCTTCTTTTGATCAAATAATCTTTTTCTCGAGATTGGTAGTCTATTGGTGTGATGTGATTCAAGTTTCAAGAGCCTTAAATGGTAGTTTGGAGTTGTGCGGGGTTATTTGGAGAACTCGAGTTCCTTATTCTTCTCTTTTTCCTCAATTCTTCTTTCGTGTTGTTGGATTTGAGGTAAAGGGAACTGGGAAGTGTTTTGATGAATAGTTGAGTTAAATGCATTAAATAAGTTATGGATTGCATGCGTTTAGGTGTTGAAATTGCATGAATTTGGGGCTAGTTATGTTAAACTTTAGTGGTTGGGTTCATGGAGGTGGAATTGGTAATTTCTATGGCTTGTGGTTGCAAGCACTGTTTTATCTTGATTTTGAGTCTTATACGATGTGTGTGAGTTGTTGGATCCAATGCATGTGTTGAATTTTTGTATTTTAGGTGAATGAAGCAATTTTTCTAATCTACATTGTGCTAAAATCACAGTCACGTCGAACATGCCTTCGTGGCGCCAGGTGTAGTTGCAACCAGGCATCTTTGTCTCGTTCACGTCAAGTGTAGGATCGATGGTGTCAGACATGAGGAGAAAGACTTGTCTCGAATTGGAATGATGCCATATGTGGTTTTCATGGGGTTATTTATGGTATTTATCTGAGAGGATATTTTATGAGGGTTATTTTATAAGGTTATTACACAAATATATTCCACAATGATGAGATATTGTCCGCTTTGGGCTTAGCCCTCACGGTTTTGCTTTTGGTCATCACCCAAAAGGCCTCTCAATCATTGAAGTATGTTTGTATTATATTAAGTTATTATTTTTTGTCTTATTTTATCGATGTGAAACTTGTTTGTATCCCAACAATCCTCCTCTCAGACAAGGGACCTAACCTTTTCATGCAGCGGAATCTGTCTTTATATAGCACATTATATGTTATGAGTTTTTTTATGGGATTTATTGATTGTCATCGAATTCAACCTGTGGTTCTGATACCACTAATGGGGTTATTTTATGGTACTTGTCTGAGGGGGTTATTTTTATGAGGATGATTATTTTTATAAGGTTATTACACAAACATACTCCACAATGATGAAATATTGTCCACTTTGGACCTAAGTCCTCATGGTTTTACTTTTGGTCATTACCCAAAAGGCCTTTCGATCATTGAAGTATGTTTGTATTATATAAGTTAGTATTTCTTGTTTTATTTTATCGATGTAGGACTTATTTGTATCCCAACAATCCTCCCCTCAAACAAGAGACCTAACCTTTCATGCAGCGGAATCTGTCTTTATATATCACATTATCATTATCATTATCATTTTTTTATAAGGGTTATTGGTTGTCACCGAATCTAACCTGCGACTCTGATACCATTGATGAGGTTATTTTATGGTATTTGTCTGAGAGGATATTTTATGATGGATATTTTTATAAGGTTATTACACAAACATACTCTACAATGATAGCTACATGGTCGAGATGACCATAATATTACTTTTACTGTAAATGCTAATGAATGCCACCTCGGCATCTCGGCACCTCGGCATAAGGTACTATGTCCATCTCGACATACGAATATCATTGAACACATTGGCATATAGATAACTTAACCGCAATTAACCGACCACAAGTAACGGTACAACAGTTACAAGAGGTAACCGTAAACGATATGCAATAAGATAGACATTAGGAGAGATAGAAAGATAGACTAACTTGATCGTCGGCGTCCTTTTTGCATTTTTAGCATGTCTAAATTTTAAAAATATATTTTTTATTTAAAATTATTATTGTCTATTTAATTATTACAGATAATTTAAGGACATTTATTAGATAAAATAATTCAAAAAACATTTGGCTGAATCGTAAAATATACTATTTAATAGATTGATAAACCCTTTTTAAAGAAACATCTTTATAGCTATTTAATTTGGTAAGTTTGTATTTGTACTATCCTAGCTACATGGTCGAGATGACCATAATATTACTTTTACTGTAAATGCTAATGAATGCCACCTCGGCATCTCGGCACCTCGGCATAAGGTACTATGTCCATCTCGACATACGAATATCATTGAACACATTGGCATATAGATAACTTAACCGCAATTAACCGACCACAAGTAACGGTACAACAGTTACAAGAGGTAACCGTAAACGATATGCAATAAGATAGACATTAGGAGAGATAGAAAGATAGACTAACTTGATCGTCGGCGTCCTTTTTGCATGTACATCCGAGGAGCAAGAAGAAAGGAGATCAGACATCGTGAAGAACAACCACTTACGTGAAGAGACGAGACTTACGTGAGGAGACGAGTTGACATCGGTAAGAACATTTGGCGCTAGAAGGAGGGC